GATTATGAAGGGAGACAAATCCGGCGAGTCCCCGGTGAGGCGCGTCACACTATCCCTTTCTTTGCACAAATTGAGAACCCCAACACTTCGCTGTTTGGGGAATAACAAGGAATCCCCAAAATAGCATGGGTAATTCCTTGTTTGGGGTAGGTTATACTAGAAATATAACAAGGAATCCCCAAAATAGCATGGGTAATTCCTTGTTTGGGGTAGGTAGGTTATACTAGAAATATAACAAGGAATCCCCAAAATAGCATGTGTCATTCTTGAGGCTCCTATATTACTCCAACTCGCACTCAGGCTTCACAACGGTTTCCTAAGCCTCCCAAAACTGTCTCCGGATCTAGGTTTTAGATTTTAGGGTTTAGGGTTTAGAATTTAGGGTTTAGGGTTTAGATTTTAGGGTTTAGGCTTTAGAGTTTAGGGTTTAGGGCTTAGGGTTTAGATTTTGGATTTTAGGGTTTAGATTTTAGGGTTTAAGGTCTAGGGTTTAGGGTTCGAAGTACCCCAGGACCCAAAAAGCATCTAAAGGCCCTAAGCCCTACAACCCAAAAGCGATCCAAAAGCGGAGCTCACAGTCCCTTTGTGACTATACTATATCTATAAATCTACAAGAAATATACCCCAACACCTTCTTCAAATCAGTAAGGGAGCAATATCTTTCAGGTCACCGGGCAGCAAAGAACCCGTTAAGCAACGCTTGAAACGGCCCTTTCAGGATTTCAGGAACCCTACACCCTAAAACCCAGCCCCTGAAGCAATCCTAAAACCCTAAAGCAACCCTAAACCCCGAAACCCTAAAACCCTAAACCCTAAACCCTAAACCCGAGAACCCTGAAACCTTAAAACCCCAAACCCTAAACCCCTGAGCCGGAAACAGGTTCAACTGTGCTCGGGCCCCAGCAGTCTTCAGCAGGCCGCGCACTTCCGTGGGGACGTTCTCCAGGTACCTCTGGCGCTTCTTTTGCATGGTAGGGTTGAGGGTTTAGGGTTTAGGGTTGAGGGTTTAGGGTTGAGGGTTTAAGGTTTAGGGGTTTAACCGCTGGACAAAAGGTTTTGTTGACGTTCCCAACATGTCTTCTGTTTCGAGATTGAATCTACAGTAAGTAAGTAAGTAGTAGAGCTATAAGTACCCCAAAATGCATCCTAATTGGTGTTATGCTACTTATAAGTCTATCTATTGCCTACTTTACTTCAGGCCCCAATGCGTGACACCTGGATTTGCGGTTTATGTCCAGGCCCAAACCCTGGCCAGGACCCCATGAGCCCTGAACCCGAAAAGCCGACCACACGAGAACCACTGAAACAACCTCAAAAGCCTTGAAATAAATCCGTCTTGGGTTGGTGAGTTCCTATAGAGGCAAAACCCATAGGATCCAAGCCTTAGTGAGAAAATTCTCTTCCACTCCCAAAGTAATACACTGTTCGCTCTAGCTGTTTATTGAAGCACCCCAAACGTAAGGATCTACAGGCCCTAGATGTCGGCAGTATACCCTAAACCCTAAACCCGAAACTCAAGACCCTATTCCAATTAATTTCTTGGGTTCCCCACATACCTAAGGGTTTAAAGGCCTAGCGCCAAGGTGCCATGTGCCCGCTGCACCCGGCTCATCACCGACTTCGTAGAGGAAGATGCACATGTCCTGTCCAAGATCTTCGGCTTCTTGTACTTGGAGGTTCATGGGTAGTTATAAATGGGGTTATAAGTAGGGTAGCAATAATTATAACTTAGGTTAGGGGACTTATAACCCCACTTATAACTACCCATGAACCTCCAAGTATAAGAGCCCAAAAGTTTAATGGCTGGGTCTTGGAGAACTAAGTATAGGCTTGGGGGTCTTGGGGTAGGGTTCAGGGTGGCTGACTGTTTCGGATTTGGCTCCGGAAGTATTCTGTAAAGGTATTCAGGATGCGATATGCGTACTATTAGTCCCTAAAACCCTAAACCTTAAATCCTCAACCCTAAACCCTAAACCCTAAACCCTCAACATTTAACGGTTCTACAGGGGTTACGAGACTCAGGCTCTACAAGGGTTCTGCAAGCGTCCTGCGAGGGTGCGAGCTCAAAAGCTGAAACTTTGAGGGTCTTGAGGTTCAGGCTTGGGTTTAGGGTTTAGGATTTAGGGTTTAGGGTTTCGGGTTTAGGGTTTAGGGTTTAGGGTTTAGGGTTTAGGGCTGAAGGTTTAGGGTTTAGGGCTTAGGGTATAGGTCTGAGGGTTTAGGGCTGAAGGTTTAGGGCTTAGAGCTTAGGGTTTAAGGGTTTGGGGCTTAGGGTTTAGGGCTGAAGGTTTAGGGTTTAGAGCTTAAGGTTTTGCGTTTAGGGCTTACGGTTTAGGGCTTAGGGTTTGGGTTTAGGGCTTATGGTTTAGGGCTTTGGGCTTAGGGGTTTAGGGCTTAGGGGTTTAGGGCTTAGGGTTTAGGGCTGAGGGCTTAGGGGTTTAGGGCTTCTGAAGCCTTGCGGACATTTGGGCTTTGGGCCCCTTTCACAGGCTTTCCAGGCTCCGGTCATCCCACAAACACACTACAGACTCTTCGTAGCTACGGATTAGGTGGGGTTTAAGATATTTTGGGTGCAGTGCGTGTCTTTTCCAGTGTACCACCTATTTTCGTGGCATACAAAAACAACCCACCCTTAGACCCTGCTACACCCTAAATTATAGAGTTTAGGGTGTTAGGGTTTAGGGTTTAGCCCCCGCCCATATGCAAAAGATTCGGTGTTTCGAGCTCAGCCCACCAGGCCGAGTTTGGGAAAGGATGATGTGCAACCTGCAAACCAGCTAAGAGTAGGATGGCTACAAGAGAGATGTCATCACAGTGATCACACCGAGATTAATACGAAGAGTTATACGCAGTTACTTTAGACAAGAGCAAGGTCGGTGGCTCCGCGCATGGCCCAGTGGGCTTAGGGATCTAGAGTTTCGGGTGACTGGTAGAGCCGGGAAGTCTCCGTCTTGTACTCCTCCCACACCTCCTTGGTCCAAAACCCTAAACCCTAAACCCCTTGGTAATCTGTGCGTCCAGGGCAGAACCCGGTGCGCCTGGGTCCATGTCAACCCCACATACCCTAAACCCTAAACCCTAAACCCTAGGCCCTTGGGTCCAAAGAGCTTGGATGTCTCCGCGCTTGTGAGCATGAAACTCTTGTCGTAGGCCGGAACCGGAGCCTGCTGGATGGCCAGCCCATGTGTGCTGCCTCTGAAGTGCAGCCCAAACCCCAAACCACACCCCAAACCCTACACCCTAGACCCTAACTTCAAACCCTACACCCTAAACCCCAAACCCGACACCCGAAACTCCAAACTCTACAGCCTAAACCCCAAACCCGACACCCGAAACCCCCAAACCCACGCCTTTACCATCTTCTGGCTTGTTCCATCACCCAGGAACTGGGTAAGATTCGACTCCTGTCTGCCGTCTTTGGGTTATAGAGTATAGGGTTTAGGGTTTAGGGTTTAGGTGTTAAGGGGTTTAGGGTTTAGGGTTGAGGGTATAGAGTATACAAGCTTTGGGGGCTTAGGGCTTAATTACGAATTTGTTGCGGCCGGCCTTTGCTTAGAAAGAGCCACCAAGACCCCGAAACCCTAAACCCTAAAACGGTTTAGGGTTTAGGGTTTAGGGTTTACGGCCGACATGTGCTCAGGTTAGGCCACCAAGATGCAAAAGCACGATTCGTGACATTCGCCATGTGCTCAAGAAGAACCGCCAAAAGCCAGCAGCACGATGTGCTACAGGATAGAAGGGAGGTTGCGTTGAATCAATCCTAATAATCAGAACTTTTCGACAGCGTTTTGTAGGGGGTATGAGATTTAGAGTTTCGGGCCAAGGATTGAAGGCTTCGGGCTTAGGGTCTTAGCCTTTAGGGTTCTCAAGATGTGCTTCAGCTGCTTTGGTTTTAACGTTTGCATGCAACGGGTTGAGATTGCGTTTTGCAGTGTACACGCAGGGTGGTGAGGATCTTCTCTCGAAAGCGAAGGAGGAGGACGAGAAGGAAGAAATCAAACCTTACGATCATGACCAAACGGTAGGAACGGTGCCCGGATATCAGAAAAGCATGAGAGCTGTGGGGAACAGAACTGTTCGGAAAAAGGAGGATAATGGTGACCTCTACAAAAGAACAAACCACTCGTCGGCAGCCGATGCTTCGTTCCCGGGGCGGTAAAAACCCTCTACCCTACACTGGGACGTTGTGTTTGGAGCCTCGGTGGCACGATGGTCATAAGGTTCCCTTTAGGGTGCTATAGGGTTCTAGAATAGGGTTCCCTTTACCGACGAAATAAGGTTCTATAATGAGGTTCCCTTTAAGGGTACTTGAGGGTGGTCAGTGTTTGGGCACGTCCCTTGCCCCAGGCAGGCTCGGGCTTGCGGTTAGGCAGCATGCCAGTGGCCTAGCTTTAGTCCTTTCAGGTTCAGGGTTAGGGGTGTAAGGGTAGCTTGATGCACCTGTCTCGGGGTCGGCTTGGGTGCTTTGCCTTTGGAAGTCCCTGCAAACCGGTCTCTAAATCCTCAAAAGTCTAGCCGTGAGGGCTCTGGGCTGGGTTCTGAGGATTGGGTCGTTGGTTTAGTTGCAGAAATTTACACCATAAACGTAATAATAACCTTCCTCTTACTATTAACTCAAGCCTATTCTCCGAGATTCCGACATAGGGTTTGGTCTTTCAGATTGCAGGCTAATCCCTAAACAACCACTGGCGTCCCGGCCTCCCCGAGCTTGCGAAGGCACTCCTGGTGTAAGTAGGGCTTAGCTCGTACTAAGGTTGAGAATGTGGACTGCTGGGTTTTAGGGTTTAGGGTTTAGGGTTTCAAGTCTATTTGCTTCAGCTTAACATTTGGGGTTGCTGCAAGCTGCCATGTTTCGTGTGGAGACCAACCCGAAGCCCCCACCCCCTTGACAGCATGAGCCCAAAAGCCTAAACCAGGCGCCCTAAACCTCTTCGGGGCATGGGGCATTGGGATGTGGGGCTTTCAATGTGAAGGGAAAACAAAATGCTGATGGGCTTTCGAGGTCCTAAAGCTTCAATAATCCGCAGCAAATTCACTTGCCCAACACCCCAAATGCCCTAAGCCCAGCCCTAAACCCCAAATCCCCAAAGCCCCAAACCCAAACGCACTCAGCCCTGAACCCTCAACCCACTCTCCCTACACTAAACCCCAAGAAGTTGGAAACCTGACTAAGGACAATGAGTGCTGGGATTTCCTTTTCATTACTCTTATAAGGATTGAAGCTTTTGGGTTTCCAAGTTTTGGGTTTCTACTGAACCCCACTTGGAGGTTCATGGGTAGTTATTATAAGTGGGGTTATAAGTAAGGTAACTGTAGTTCTAACCCATATTAGGGGACGTATGACCCCACTTATACCTAAACCCTAAACCCTAAACCCTAAACCCTAAACCCTAAACCCTAAACCCTAAACCGTGGCTTCAGGAATCTTTCGGGCCCAGGGTTGCGTCGGACCTGAAACGAGAAAAGTCCCGTCGATTTGGGGGGCTTCCTGTTTAGGGTTTAGGGTTTAGGGTTTAGGGTTTAGGGTTTAGGGTATAGGGTTTAGGGTTTAGGGTTTAGGGTTTAGGGTTTGTCAGAACCTTTTTTTGGGTAGTTCTCTAAATTCGGGTCCCTGTGTAGGAACCCAAAAGAAGGCGGCACCATCATAAAAGGGACCCCAAAAAGGGACCCTGATTAGAGAACAACCCATATCGTACATTGCATGTGCGCCTGGGATGCAGCCCAAGCGCTTAAGGTTTAGGGTTTAAGGTTTAGGGTTTAGGGTTTAAGGCTCAGGGTCGCTACTCTTCACCCGCGGTCGGGCCGAGGCGGACGACGCGAAGCGTCTGCGTACATCGTACATGCTGTATAGCAGAGACTGTATATTGGACATGACATAGGATCTTAGATCTTGGATCTTGGATGTTGGATGTGAGATGCTAGATGATAAAACAGAATATGACGCAGAAAGCCCTTAACGAAAAAGCACTTTCTTCAAGTTGCTGCGGGCGTACGGCTTGAGGGTCGAACACGATTTCGGAGTTCGAGCAACCCCTGTTCCTGCAACCTGTGCATAAAATAATACTTTCCTTATGTAAGGACGGTTTTTACAGTTTTGGGGGTTCAGGGTTTGAGGTCGAACTACGATTTCGGGGCGTAGGGTTCCAGGGTCGAAGAGTGGTCCGTGCCCTGTCAGGGGTCAGGGTTGAGGTGCTACAGGCGCCTTTAACCCTAAACCCTAAACCCTAAACCCTAAAGTTAGAATTTGGTTTCCGAGGTTCCCAGAGAGTTCAATACCCCTTAATTATGGAAGAGGGCTTAAATTTTTTTAAAAAAAAAAAGTTGCTTCATCTTGTGAATATGGCTTAAACTGTAAGGGGCTTCATCTTATGGTTTAGGCTATGTTCCTTGATTAAGGCGTCTTGGGCTCTCTGGGTTCCCTATCATAACTATACAATAGGGTTTAGGGGTTTAGGGTTTAGGGTTTAGGGTTTAGGGTTTAGGGTTTAGGGTTTAGGGTTTAGGGTTTAGGGTTTAGGGTTTAGGGTTTATAATATAATAGACCCCCAAACCCGATTCTAGTTATTATTAAGGCGCCTATAGTTTAGGGTTTAGGGCTTAGGTACAGCAAACAACCCTGCCCTGTTTTGAAGGGACATAGGTCACCTCAACACTATGACCCGTATCAATGGAGGAAGGCTTTTCATATTTAGCCGCCCGACCACAGAGACAGAATGGTCATAACAAGACTAGACACGATGAATTAAGAACATGTTCGACAGTGTAACCCGAAATCCTGTTTCAAGATTCAAAAAACAAATAAACCTCACAAGCACCCGACAACCCTGCACACATCACTAGCATCAGCGCTGCGGCGAAGGCTGTCCGCGCAGCGTGCATCATCAGCATCAGCTGCCTGTTTGTGCGGAGGCGGCCCGGGCAATAAGAATCAGGAGCATGGGCAGCGCCTGCCCCGCGCGCATCATCAACAGCATGGTGCTTGCACGCATCAGCTGGGACCTGGGAGTAGTACCGGTCATAAAGCATCAGCTGCATACTAGCTGCATAATGCCTGAAGTAATTAACCCCGCGATGCGCGCCATCAGCACCTGCTGGGTAGTGAGGTAGCCGTGAGCAGTGCCCATCATTCGCATCACCTGGTTAATGCCCGTCAACCCGACGCAGTGAGGTAGCTGTGAGCAGTGCCCATCATTCGCATCACATAACTGGAGCCTGTCGAAAGGGCACCATAGCATCAGCTGGATGTTGCCTGTCCGGAAATGACCCGAGGAGTGCGCATCATCAGCGCATCAGCTGCGGAGTGCCTGTCCGGAAATAGCTCTGGCAGTGCGCATCATCAGCATCAGCGGGATATTGCCTGTCCGACAAAAGCCCTGGCAGTGTACATCACCAGCATAAGCTGCGTAGTGGCAGCCCGGGCAATGCACATCATCAGCATCAGCTGGATATTCCACGAGCCGGGCAGCGCGCATCATCAGCATCAGCTGCGAAGTGCCTGTCCGGAACTAGCCAAGGCAATGCGCATCAGCAGCATCAACTAGCATGTCTGGAAATAGCTCTGGCAATGAGCATCAGCAGCATCAGCTGGAGATTGCCTCTCCGCAAACAGCCCGGCCAGTGTGCATCATCAGCATCAGCTCGATACAGCCTGTCCGAAAAAGCCCTGGCAGTTTTAGCTGCATAGTGCCTCCCGTCAGCATCAGCTGCATATTGTCTGTCCGGAAACAACCCGGGCAGTGGCGCATCATCAGGGTCAGCCGCATCATCTGCATCAGCTCGACAGTGCCTGTCCGAAAAAAGCCGTAGTAGTGCAAATCACGGGCATAAGCTGCGTAGTGGCAGCCCGGGCAGTGCACATCATCAGCATCAGTTGGATTTTGCCTGTCCGGAACTAGCTCTGCCAGCGCGCATCAGCAGCATCAGTTGGGAGTTGGGTGGTGCCTCGAACTGGCAAGCCCGGGTAGTGCGCATCATTAGCATCAGCTGGAAATTACCTGTCTGGCGCATCATGAGCATTAGCTGCACAGAGCCTGGCTCTTAAAGCGCCAAACTGCAAAGCCTGGAGCCACATCCCGCCCTGGAAGAGACGCTGAACCCGAAACCGGAAAGGTGCCAGCCCCAAACGCCCAACCCCTAAATCCTTAACCTTTCAAAAATGCTATGGGCTATTAATAGGTATCTGGGCTTCTGTATTAAGCCCTACAGCCCTACTACAAAGCTCAACGTGGTGGGCTGCCTGGTTCGTCTTGTCGAACTTCCCGTCGGCCGCCGTCCAGCTGTTCAGCCTGCTTACGTCTTAAGGCGTCTTCGGATTTTGATATTATGGTTATTATGACTATTATGAGTATCATGACTATTATGATTAATATGATTATATGCTTCTTGTGATTATTACTATCTGCAGCTTCGTGCGTGGGGTTCACAAGCCCGGGGTTCTGGCGGGCTCCACATCAGGGAGAGGATGCGCCACAGAATGTGGGGGGGGGGGGGGGGG